TTTCCTCACAATGGCAGTATCAATCCACTTTCCTGTCAACGGTAACACAAGGGTACCTTTTCTCCACATTCTGGCTAGTCCCCTTCTATCCCCCAGTTTCCTTTCTTTGTAACAGTCATACTCGCTGGCATGAGGTGATATTTTGCTGCGTTTTTCATAGTAAACTTGGGATGGGGTGGTTGGAAGGATAATTTTCAAATCTTTAAAAAAGTTGCACTCACTTATTTAAGTATTTACTAAAGTTTATTTTTCAAGGCTGGGATAGAGCTCAGGTCTTTTTGTATGTTAGATAATCACTCAACCACGAACCATATTCCCAGCCTAGACAAATAGCCATATTGGTTTTTAAAATTATTTTTATTTTTATTTTTTATTTTGCCAGGCAATACTGGTGCATGCCTTGAAGCCCAGACTAGGGAGGTAGAAGCAGGCAGATCTCTGAGTTCAAGGCCAGCCTGGTCTACAGAGTAAGTTCCAGGACAGTCAGAGCTGTTACACAAAGAAAGCCTGTCTTGAAAATAAATCAAACAAAAGAAAAAAAAAGAAAAGAAAAAGGGAAAATATTAAATTTGTTTTTAGACAATTTCACACATATATACAACACTGGCCACTCTTACCCCTACCTTCCTGAATTTCCCTATCACTCCTTTCTCTCCACCCCATGAACGTCTTCTTCACTTTCACGTCTATTCGTTTTGTTGTGTGAGCCACTGAGGGCCCACCAGGGCCATCTGTGTGATCATGTACCTGGAGCCATATGTGGAGTCTGGTAGGCTGACCCAGTGGCTAGACAACTGATGACATCAAACTGTTTTTATAAAGGGGCCAGATGGTATTTTCAGTTTGCAGGCCATGTATTGTCTGGTGTAATGACTCATGTTTCCTTTTGTAGAATAAGGCAGCCACAGACAACATGTAAATGAGGGAGAATGACTCCGGGCCAATAGAACTTTGTTTATTAAAAGGCTGAAGCCTGGGTGCAGCAAACAAATCTTGGCACATGAAGACTCCAGAATGACTGGGTATCTGACCTATAGGCTGGTATGCAGCATGAGTGTCATCTACACTTGCTTAGCCCTGTATGACCACAGCTTGGTTCCTTGCTCTAGAATGCCCAACCACACCACAGCTGCAGCTGTAACACAGATCAGGACCCCTAATGACCCTACAGAGTCATTAAGTGAGAGGCTTGAACTGGATCAACAATGACCTGGGGAAGCAGAGACACAACTCAGTGGTTGAGCACTTTCCTAGAATCACTGAGACCCCAAGTTTTATCCCCTAAATCCCCAAGAGAAAAGCCTTAAAAAATATCTCATTAGGTCTGCTCCACAGGAGGAACCCAGGCCTGCTACTTTAACAGGGTCAAAGCCAATGGCTGGGAAAGTCTTCCGACCTGGGGAAAACTTAGTGTTGTGGTTTTGCTAAATGATATGCTGTCAAACTGCCTTCTTAGAGGTTTATGTTTGCACCCATAGACTAGTGCTGCCTTTATTCTTGGTCAGAGAAACTTCATTCTGCAGTGGCAGAAGTTAATGGACAGACTCAAAGCTTTTCAAACTGTTGAGAATAAGTGCATATTTAGTATTCAGCCCTAAATGTGACACCTATACCTCTCCCCCAAAGATCAGGGAACATTGCACAAGAGGGGTAGAAATATCTGGGCAGTGGTGCCTCATGCCTTCATCTCAGCAGTCAGGAGGCAGAGGCAGGCAGATCTCTGTCAGTTCGAGGTCAGCCTGGTCTACAGAGTGAGTTCCGGGACAGCCAAGGCTACACAGAGAAACCCTGTCTCAACAAAAGGGGGTGTGGTGCTGGTGGTGGAAAGAAAGTAGGAGTTGGAGGATGGAGGAGTGCTCTGAAATGCCTTTTGAACATGTGTGGCCACCCAGCTTTGGCAGCTATGACAGGCTGCAGAAAAGACCCAGCAAGATGTAAACCTCTGACTCCTGGTCTCACCTGCTTCACCTGCTGTGTCAGATGGACAGGAAGGCAGGGGGACGAGTTAACTCCTAAAATTAAAGACTCAAGCCAGAGTCCTAAAATTAAAGATCAAGCCAGGATCAATCAATATTCTAACAGGCATCACTAATTAACTCAGTGAGTTATTAACAAAAAAGGAGGAGTCATGAAGGGGGGTGTGTTGGGGGGTCCTGGGGAGAGTGGGCAGGGAGAGTTGGGTGCTGTATGAGCAAGATATATTGTTTACATGTGTGAAATTTTTGAAGAATAAATAAAAGAGATGATAGTTTAAAATCTCCTTAAATGTGGATGACATACTCATGCCAATAGGCAGGTTTTAACTTTCTGGATGCTGAGAAGAGAAGAACCTTGGGGCTATGTTTAAATTCTGTAGGAGAGGAGGTATGATTGATTAGTCATGTCTGCCACGGGAACCAGAAGAGAAATAGTGACACACTGATAGGGGATGTCCTTCTGTGTATACGATTCTCTTATTGATTAATGAATAAAACACTGATTGGCCGGTAGCCAGGCGGGAAGTATAGGTGGGGCTAGCAGACCATGAGAAGGCTGGGGAGAGGAAGACAGAGAGAGGTGAAGAGATGCCATGCTGCCGAAGGAGTAACATGCCAGATTACAGGTAAGCCACAGTCTCAGAGCAATACATAGATTAATAGAAATGGGTTAATAATTAAGACAGAGCTAGCCAGTAAAAAGCCTGAGCCATCGACCAACAGTTTTATAATTATACAGCGTTTGTGTTTATTTGGGGCTGAAGTGGCTGTGGGACCAGGCAGGACAGAATATATATATCTCCATCTTCAATATATCTGTTAAGCTTTATGCTCCTATGACAAGATGATCTCCAGCATGTATCCTTGACAAGGCATGCCTAGATATTCCTTTGGAAGCATTCTTCACGTTGAAAATACCTAACATATAACCATCTGGCACAAGTATGACTTGTACTTTTAGAAATCCTAACATATCTACTTGTATGTAAGACACAGGTCCTGATTCTCTGCTTATGGTAGATGCACACAGGAAGCCAGCCATGGGGCAGCGGAAGAACTCAAACCTACAGCTCCTTCTATTTTTCCCACAAGTTAGGCTCAGAGCAAAGATACCAACACATTTCCTCCAAGTTTGACAGCTGTTTATTGAATACTCATTATAGCAATCAAAGATTGCTTCCTGTCCTCCAACAAAAGAAATAACAGCTCTTCATCATGGGTGGGAGGGGCATAGGGATGGGGTAACTAGTGAGGGGAAGGCAGTGGAGAAAAGGAGGAAGGAGGGGAGGAAGGCACATGGGAGTCCTGTGCTTGGAGAAATGGTGAATTGGGCAAAGGCACAGAGGCAGAGGGGAGGGAGAGGACGCTAGAATTTCTGGGAGAATGAATTCCTAGCAGAGGAGATACATTTATCTGAGGCCCGATTGGATGGGATCACAAAAATCCAGAAAACACAGAGGTGGGGTTTGACTAAATAACAATGTTCTTTGTGTTTCCTTGAGGCATGCGGAGATACCTCTTTCATAGAAATCGGTACCAAGGAAGTGGGGTCATCACTGTGATAGACCTGGCCATGTGGCTTTTATGCTTTGGACAGGTTTTGTAGGAAGAATGTGAAAGCTTTGGGAACACTGGGCTGGAAATGCCATTGAATCCTGGCCCATTCATGGGAACTTAGAGAGTTGAGGCCTAGCTCCTGGGGTTTTGGAGAGGAACAAAGACTCTTCAGGAGCAGAGGATTTTTGTACATATTTCAGCTAAGAATCTGTGTGTATTTATCGTGCTGGGGCTGAAGAAGCTGCTGCAATCATTGAAGATGTCAGCACCACACTCATGGCACCTCCTTTCCTGGGACAGGTGCTTCTGAATAAGAAGGTCACTAGCTGGAGGGGAGGGGCTACTCAAATCCTTTAGAGACCAGAAGTTTATTTCAGTGTGATTATTTCATGCTCCAGTTCTTTGCTTTTGAATAAGAATGTTTATTCTGGGATGCCACTAGCTGTGTATTTCCTGCCTTGGCTTCCCCATAATGATAAACTGTAAACTGAGCTTGAGAAACTTGGATGTGATAACTAAATAGCTTTGACCTCTAGGCAACAGGGCCCACTGTATCTTTTAGAGGGTTCCAGAGAGAATTCTCCCATAGGTTGTGCAGCGAGATAAGGAAGGATTCTAGCTGCAGCAGAGTGGAGGTCATCCAGGCTGAACCTTGAGGGTGCTGGGGAAGAGAAGAGACACAGGTGCAAAAGCCTTTTCAAAGTCAGCTGGAGGGATGTGAGGAGTCTATGAACCATGGCCAGAATTCCCAAGCAAGGTCAAGAGTGGGAAGATGTCAGGCAAGGCTGGGAAGAGGGACTAGAAAGAAAGGACCTTTTTTTTTTTTTTAATTTTTCAGATAGGGTTTCTGCCCTGGCTGTCCTGCAACTCCCTTTGTAGACCAGGATGGCCTCTAATTCACAGAGATCTGCCTGCCTCTGCCTCCCTAGTTGGGATTAAGGGCATGGATCACCACTGCCAGGCTGAAAAGACCCATTTTAAGCTGTGAGTTTTTACAGCGACAGATGACACAGCTGTGAAACCATGTGCCATATACTTGGAAGACAATATGGCTGATCTCTTTTTCTAGCCTAGTGCCCAAATCTCACAGTGGTGACCTTAGCTGGAGATTATTGCAAGTTTCTAGAAATTGTTCAGAAAGCTCCTCCCTCTGACATAGGAAAGGCTCTTTATTTATTTTTGTAGGAGTCACAGGAGGAAGAGGAAGGCAAAAGGAACAGAAAGTTAGCTATAGGCAGGCAATCTGAGGCCGCAGTAACAGATGGAGGCAGTCCAGCCTGAGGAAGGTGATGCTAATGTTGCTGCTAACATGTGCTCTAGTCTGGCGGCCTTGCTCTAAAAGAAGACATGGACAAGGAGTGTGATGAATGAGGAATCCAGTAACAATCTTTGAGGAGTGTTGGTAGCTGTCTCTAAAATATCTCTGGGGGCAGGGAGGATGCCTGCAGACCTGTCACCCCCTTTCTTTTATTGCAGATACAGACTCTTCCGGAGGGTGCTTTGGAATTCAGGGTTCACTTTCCTCGGTTTCCCCTCCTGAATCACCTCAGTGTCTGCCATCCGTCGGGTTATCTGCAACAATAGGCATGGTCAGCTTTGGGGGCTGGGCTGCTGGGAAGGCCTGTGTCAGGAGAGGAGGGGATGAGGTTGCAGAGAAGAACAGGTGGGCACCAATGTCTCCAGACATTAATTGTCCCCTAGTGGTTCATATTTCTATGGAATGATTGGTTAGCTTGTTTGTGTATGTGTGTATATATGTTCCTGTCATGCATGTGACCATTGTCTGAGAGAGGTGACATTGGGGTGTCTTCTACCATAATGTTTTATTGAGGTAGTAGGATCAGACTCTCATTGAATTAGTACTTCACTGATTTGTATAGACTCCGACCCTCTGCATGCACACACATGCACGCACACCCCTATCCCCACATACCTGTTCCTACACACATCTACACAACACATGAATATATGAAAATGAAGAAAAAAACAACCTAGAAAACCATTCCCACACATGGTGAGCTTGGCAGTCCCAATGTGCTTGCATGGAGATGAGGGCATTGAGGAAGTTTGGGAGGGGCTCAGCCTGGGTGGGGGTTCCAAATGACCCATCTGGCTCACCTCTTCCAGAAGCTTTATGATGGATCCTTTTTTGTTTATAAACACATCTGTCAGGGTCTGGATGAAGCCAGAGCCTTTCTGTTCATGTCTATAGGAGAGGTACCCTGCAAAGGTCAGAGAATCGAGTTTGGAGAAGTCTTCAGAGAGTGGAAGGACCCTGGAAGAGGGTCCCTTCTTGATGGAGAAATTCAGGGGTCAGGTGTGCTGGTTGTGGGGCGGGGGGGGGGGCCGTTGGCCACTCTGGGTGCTCATACCCTCTACCGTGGAGAAGATGTGGAGGGCATCCGTATAGGTCGGGATGGTTTGAGGTTTGTTCTTCATGATCACAGCAACCTGATCTCCTTCCATTTCTTCACCAAGGTCTCTGTGCTCTAAAACCAAGGGGAGCAGAAGGAAAAGCCAGGGAGAAAAGTGGGACAAAGAGAAGGTTGTGGAGCAGTCTGGTGGCATGCTGGATTCAGCTGGGGCCCTGGGTCTGGGACCAGCCTGGATGAAAAGACTCTGGGTTAGAGAGATGGCTGAGTGGTTAAGAGCATTTATTGCTCTTGCAGGGAATCAAACACCAGCTCCCAGGGCCCATGTAGCTCTAGCTCCAGGGAGCTGCACCCTTTCCTGGCCTCTTCAGTTACCTAAAGTCACACACACACATATACTTACATACACACACACACACACACACATATACACACATCTAAAAATAAAATAAATCTTAAAAATACATGGACTCAGCTTGACACAATGTATGCCTATAAGCACTTGGGAAACCAAGGCAGGAAGATCATAAATTTAAGGGCAGGCTGGACTACATAATGAGTTTGAGGCTAGCCTGGGATACATAGCAAGACTCTGTCTTAATATCCTTTCACCAAAGCACAAGGAGGCAGTGTCCCAGTTCTCACCTCCTCTGCAGGCCTGAATGATGTACACTTTGGGCTTGCCTCTCAGGGCCTTGCAGTTCTTGTTGTTCAAGACCTCAAAAAGGTCTTCCAGTCTCACCATCTTCTTATCTTCTCCCTCTAGGAGGCCTTCCTCTCCATGTGCCATAAGCACCACGAAAGCACAGCTGACGGGCTCTTCCCAATTATCTATGATCTGCTGAAAATTGTCCAACTCTTCCAGGAATTGCTTGGAAGAAGAGGAATGAGCCAGCTCAGAAAGGTGCCCCAAAGCCTACCTTTTTGGTTCAGCCCTCTTCCCTCCTGTCCTGGAGCTGGCAGCTCAATACCTGAGCAGTGGGATCTGACTTCATGGTGCTTTCAAATTTTAGGTACCGGAACATGCGTTCCAAGGCATCCATATCTTCCTTGGAACCCTCCCGGGCTTTGGTGACACATAGTGTCAGGGCTAGACGGGCACCCGACATATCATATCTTTCCTAAAGCAGAGGGACAGAGGAGGAAGAAGACAGTACAACAAAGTCTAAGGTTAGTCTTGGCAGCTGAAATGAAAGGTATATGTGGCATTCAAACTTCATGTCAAGGTTTGTCTTTGTGGTACTGGGTATTGAACCCAAGGCCTTGCCTGTACTAGGCCCATGCTCTCCCTCTGAGCCATATCCCCAGCCCCTGACACAGAGATTTAAAAAAAAAAAAAAAAACAAGTAAGTAGGGATGCATCCATCCAAGCATGGGAAACACATTGGTGGTTCTATACCCATGAGCATATGCAAAGCACTAATTGGACTTGGTGGATTATTACATATATAAAAGAAAATATGAAATTGGGAGGGGAAGTATTGGGGAGAATATGGTGGGAGCTGGGGGAGGGATATGGGTAGCTATGATCATGTTTCATTGTATACATGGATGAAATTCTCAAATAATAAAAATATAAACAACAACAAACCAAATAAATATTTAGTGTAAGCATTTCCCAAATATTTTGTGGGTATGCTTAGACAACAAAACTATTTGTTACTAATGTAGAATTCAAATTCACCTGGGTACTTCCTATTTTCGTTTCCCAAGTATGACAACCCAGCCTTGAGCCTAAATTCAGTTTGCCGACATAAATGAGTGCGTGTATGTAGGGGTAACGGTTGGGTCTTGAAGGTCACCTCCAGTGGTCACATCTGGTGGGCTCAACTCCCTCCTGGTCCTTCCAGATAGAGCTCTGAGGGAGTCAGGATGGTCTGACTGTGACATCTATCACCCCAATGACCTCCAGGGGTTGATGCGGCTGGTCTGGCTGGCTCAATAGCTGTCCCCTTCCTCCCTCACAATGTCATGTGTGTCCTTTCTGAAACCGTGCACTCAGTCAAAGAGGAAGGTCTTCCCTGACTGACACTTAGGTCAAAAGTGAGCGAGTAGCTGCACTGCTCTGCTAGAACCTTCCAATAAGCCGCCAAGGTTCATGGTGCTCTGAGGATTTCCCCATTTCTTGCTCACTTGCAGAGCTCTTAGAATATCCAAAGCCTTGACTGGGATCCTATCATATGCCATCTGAGAAAGAATGGCACTGGGGGTCAAATTTTCTTTTTTGAAGTGAAGCAGTTGGCTGAGAACCACAGTGATAAGAGCTTAGGTCTTGGGGACAGATGTAGCTGGGAGCCTCCTCCCGTTCTCCAATTTGGATTCCATCTCTGGGTCTATTTTTTGTCATCTTTTCCATTCTTTTGAAACATTAAGTTTATCACCACTTTCTCACATCCCCATCCATTCTGTGCCCTCACCCACCTCCTGTAAGGGCTGAGGATCGCTCATCTCTCTTTGATTCCAAGTCTGGCTTTCAGCACCGTTGTCTGTTCTGGAGGTCAAGATAACATAGGTAGAAAGTCTCCAAAGGAAGGCTGAGGGAATCGGGGGACAGACTGATTTGTCTGCCTTGGCTACTGAGACTGAATAGGAAAGTTTCTGTGTGGTCAGACCTGGGCAAGAACTGATAGTCCCTGGAGTGTGTTTTCTCTAGAGTCACAATACGGTAGAGGCTTCCATCCATGTTCTTCTAGGCCTATCAAAATTGGCATCTCTCCCCTTTAATTCCAGAACCCCAGAGGTATAGGCAGGCAAATTTCTATGAGTTCAAGGCCAGACTGGTCTACAGAGTGAGTTCCAGGACAGTTTCAGGGCTACATAGAGAAACCCTGTCTCAAAAACCTAAGGGTGAGGGCTGGGGGGGAAAGAAAAGAAGACATCTCTCTGGAATCCCACTTACTTCCTCCAGAACATTCTCCTGTCTGTGTTGGGGCAGATTCCTCCCTCCTCAGGACTGATGATCAGGGAAAATAGCTCACATCACATAACCCTCTATTATACCAAGGTATGACTGGCTGGGGAAGATTCAGGGTTAGTTTAACAGAGAATTCCATCAAAGTGAGGGCTGGCTTGATACTGTCCTGGTGAGTGTCTCATCTGAAGAGGTCAGTCTATCTCTCTGTTTTTGCCTTGAGAGTGAGTATCTGCCAGCAGTCTGCATCCTTCTCTCTGCCTAAATTGAAGGATGTCTGGCACGCCCTGGGCCTTTCCTCACACTTCTGTATCAGGCTGGAATTTTTATGATTGGAATGACATAACATCTGCTATGACTTCTCTTCATTGCATATCTTTCTACTTACCAATCCACTCATCCACCCACCATCCAGTCACATGTCTATCCTTCTACTCACTTATAATTCATTCATGAATCTACCTATCACTTCCCAAACATTTACTCATTGATTCGTGCATCCATCCATCCATCCCTCCATCCATCCTTGCACTTTTATATCTAATGGTCCAACTGTACACTCATCCCTTCAGTTACTCTACTTTTACCCATTAAACAATCACCCATCCTTTCATTTATACACCAACCATCAATCTACTAGTTGTCCTTATACCTATCCATCCTCCCACTTATGTATCTGACTCTCCACTCATCAAGGACATGCTTCCTGACAGTTTATTAAGCACGGGGAAGACATTCCATTAACTGGACCTTCTCCTTGCCCTTATGTAGCTCTGTGACAAATAAGAACATCAACTCTCTCTCTTATGAAGAGCGCGCGCACACACACACACACACACACACACACACACACACACACACACACTCCCAAGCCATGAGGAAAGAGGAGCCAAATGCTGTGACTGTGGAAGTGATGGGAACCCAGCTCTGAAACCAGACACAGCAGATTCCCCCTCTTACCCCGTGACCCCCAAGAATTTAAGCAGCTCACCCTCTCTTTGAGATTCAGTTTTTTTGTTTTTTTTTTTTTGTTTTTTTTTTTTTTGCACCTGGAAAGGCAGGATCTGTGAGCAGCAGTAAGTAGTTGAACAGTAAAGGCAAAATAAGACAGGTTTCATGATTCTTACTAGCCTCCTGGGTGTGCCACTCCCTCTCTCCCTGTTTATACTTGCATTACAGCAGTTTGTGTGTTTTTACAGACTACTCATTGACTATTGCTTTGTCTTCATGATTACATGCATGTAAGAAAGATTGAAAGACAGATGTATTGACAGGTGAAACAAAGAAATATCTCTTACTTTGTATATGATATAAAACATTAGACTCCTTAGACTCAGAACAAAGAAAATGGCATGAACGGGAGGCAGCAGTGTTTCCTGATTCTCACTCCTGAGGCCCAACTGGCAGCTGGGCTCAGCGTTCATGACAAGAGCCTGATGCCTTTATCTGTGTCTCCATCCTGGCTGACAGTGTGGGTGGAGAGGCAGTGTTGAGGAGATCGTGCTGAGCAAACAAATAACAAACAAGTGAACAGATGAGAAAAAGCCTTCGTAGACAGATGGAAGAATGGACGGAAATTTCTTCAGTTCTGTCAGAACAGGGGAGAGAGGAGAGAGAGAGAGAGAGAGAGAGAGAGAGAGAGAGAGAGAGCACAGTGTTTGGCAAATCCCTCACCAGCTGCAGAAGCCGGTCCTCAGGGTCAGGTCCTGGCTTGTCTGTTTCCAAACGGCTGATGCAGCTCTGTCACCCAGGAGGAGTTAGACCCACGTGTTGCTCTCTGAGAAGGGGCAGACACGCGGAGATCTTCCTAGGTTTTTCCTGAGATCCTGTCTGTGACTGGAGCACTGCAAGCCCTGTCCCTTTATTGCCAGCGAGATTTCTGTCACTCAAGAAACCTGGTGACGAGAGGGCCACACCCTTGGCAGCAGGTGTGGAAATAGAATCAAACGCCCATGGAATGAATGAAAGAATGATGGCGTGTCACAGCTGACACCCCCCCCCCAAGGTGCCTGAGGTATAGCATCCAAATGAAACAAACCACGAACCCTCCACTCACCAACCTGGGTTCAGTTCCAGTCCTTATTAACGTGTGATCTCTACCATTGAGCGCTTTTCATTCATCCCACCCCTTATCAGATAACAGCAGCTTCACTTTCTCAAGGTCTTTGGTCCTTAGGAGTTCTCAGGAGACATTAGCATTGTCCCTCCTGTTTTGAAGCTGAGGTTCATAGTTGTGCAAAAAGGTGGCACCTCACCACCACCCAGCTAACACTTGGCATTCAAACTCAGGACTGTCAAGTCTAGCTACCTCCCTGAGTTTTCACGCTCCCCTCATCAGCTCCCATCTTCTCCTTTTATTCTACCTCCTTTGTTCTTTTCTAGTATCTTGTTTTCTGATTATGTTTCTGTGGACAGCTTTTATGAGATAAACACATGCACCAGACAGCTCCATCACTTGACATGTTCACTTTACAGAGGGGTGCCAGGGACACTTCCCCACCGTCCACTCTAGCTCGTAGCATTACAAAGATAGGGTCTCTCATTGAACTAGGTTTGCAGCCAGCAATTTCCAGCAATCCTCCTGTCTCTGTCTCCAAAAGTGCTAGGGTTATAGACCTGAGCTAGTGTTCCATCTAGCTTTTTACATGGGCTTTGGGGATTTAAACTTAGATCCTCATGCTTGTTTACAAAAACCTATTTACTGACACATTTCCCCAGATATGCATTTTTAAAGTAATTTTTATTACATTTATATTTTTTATTAACAGCATACCTCAGCCATGCCATAGCATGTATGTATAGCTCAGAGGACAACTTGTGGGAACTGGTTCTCTCTTTCTATCATGTGGTCTGAGGGATCAAACTCAAGTCATCAGGTCCACAGTAAGTTTCTTTGTTCACTGAGCCATCTTGCGCCCCCCCCCATGTCTTTTGTGTGTGTGAGCAAATGCACATTAGTACACGTGTGTGGAAACCAGAGATCAATGTTGGATATCTTTCTCTATTGTTCTCCCCCTTGGTTTTTGAGACATGGTCTCTCACTGAACTTCAAGTTCACTGATTCAGCTAGACTGGCCGTCCAGCAAGCCCCACCTGTCTTCACCTCCCCATGGCTAAGATTAGAAATGTGTGTTGTTGTACTCAGCCTTTCATGTGGGCTGCTGGGAATCTGCACTCAGTGTCTCATGACTGAGCCATCTTCCCATTTCCACTTTTCAGGATATTTCACAGAAATTGATTCATATTATAGGTATTCTTCTGTGTCTGGCTTCCTTCATGTAGCATCGTACCTTTGAGGTTCCTTTACATCGTATTTTTCATCAGTCTCCACTGCTCTTCATTGAATGCTATTCCACAGAATGAAACCTTTAAGAATATTTCTGCCAGGGGAATAGAGAGTTAAGACGATCTCAAGGCATTTGCATACATGTATTAAATTGTCAAAAATAAAAAGATGGAAAGACTCAAAAGAAAAAAAAAGAGTATTTCTGCCTTTGGATGATGTGGTTCACATGTACTCATGTGTAATGTTATGTACACTCATGGACCAGGGTTTGTGTAAGTGCTTGTGTTCTTAGCCCGTTCTTGAGGGTGGAATACTGAAACAGACACCTTTTTTGGTTCTCACAACTGGAATATTCCTTTTCCCCCACCTCTCCTGTTTGCTTTGGCATTTCACTTAAAGGAGATCTTCACAATGTACTCTCCTATTAATTTTTAACATTTAGTTACTTTTTATTACATTTATTCCCCCTCCTCCCGCCCCATGTTCATAACATAGCATGCAGTGTCTGTGGGGGTCGGAGGACAATTTGTGGGAATTGGCTCTCTCCTCCCACCAAGTGGGTGCTGGGGATGGAACTCGCTGGCCAGGCTTGGCAGCAGGTGCCTTTACTCACCAAGCTGTCTTGTCAGTCTGTTATGCTTCCATTTTGAGTTGGTCCACTCAACGTTGTGTCTGCACAGTTCAGTAATTTCTAACGTATGTGTTTAGATCATCAATCCAATTGCTTTAGGGTAATGATTCTCAGGGTCTTAAAAACTATTCATGCTCACAAGCCATTTGAGATATATTCCTCACTGTCCCTATTTATCTTTCTGTCTGTCTCAGTATCTATCATCTATGTATCTATGTATCTATCCATTCATCTATTTACGTATCATCCATTTAATATCTATCATCTACCTATGTACCATCCATTTAATATCTATCCATCCATCCATTCATCCATCCGTTTATCTACATAAACATCCACCCACCACCTTAAATCAATCTATCATTCTATTTTACAATCTGTCTATGGGGATCTATGGTATCTATTTGTTTCTGTCGCCTACATTACTACATATCTTTGCACACAATTATATCTGTAAATACTGTGTATGCCTCTGTGTACCCAAACAGTAGACATATAAAGAATAATATTATTTTTCTCTCCCTCACACCCATGTTTGCCCCTCTGCTGCCCCTCCCCCCAGGGTGGGTGCTTTCTATACACTGCACCTTGTGGACAGACCACACCTGCCCTACCTGATT